TAGTCACGCAATTGGTAGAACACAGCGAACATCTATTGAAAAATTTTAACAATTTGTTTGTGTTAGATAACAAAGGTCTAACCAAATAGTTATCCGTCCGGCCACGTCTATGTACTCATAGTAAGGCTTTGTACTGTGGTAACCGACATTAAAACAGATGCATACCTATTGAAAATATTTAAAGAGGCAACTCACACTCCTCATTGTCAATTTATCTTCTTCTGCCTGCTAATAAATGTCAGTCAGCCTTTTTACATTAGAATTTTCTGAATACCAACCCTACATAAAGGTACGATTTTCTTGCATCCAATAAATGTGCTTTCCAATGTAGCGTGGCTGCTTGTGTCTTAGATTAGATTGCTTTAATATTTGCTTCTTACTTCACTTGAATGTAATTACACTGGCTTGTTTTATTATTTGTGTGTGTGTGTGTGTGTGTGTGTGTGCTTTTTAATAATAACTTTTAAGAGGTGAGTTATGCTACTACTACTACTTCCTACACAGTTACAATTGCTCTACTCTGGTCTACTACTCCTAGGCACTCAGCATATTACTGTAGCTCTTTTCTTCATCTACTCTACTTTACTTTCCACTTGAGCTGGAAAAAGCGAAATTAAGATTTTAATGTTGGAAAATTTTTCATTTCATTTTCGCTGAAACAGCATTACCCCCACGCGGCCCGGCACAGCTCGTGTTTGATCTGGTTGAGTTGTCGACTTTAGTTTAAAGTGTTAGAGTTGCTGTAGCTCCTATAAATTGTTGTTTGTGTATTTACAAAAACTGTGGTTGCACGTTATGCAATTATTACTTTTACTTGAGTTGTTGTAGTTGTTCTTCTCGCCACTTAACTGGTGCGTTGAGCACATAAACCCATTAACTGCTGAAGCGTAAGCTAACATGATTTTATTAGGGTGTAATTTTATAGGCAGCCTCAAAGCAGTCACTGTTTTTACAAAATAAAAAAATGTTGCGGTTTTATGTGAAGAAAAATTTAATTAAATTCCGAATGTTTAACTAGCTTTAAAATATTTATGCAGTGAAAGATTTTATGTTGAAAACACTAAACGCCGCTTTGCCGCTCATTGCGTAGCCTCGACCTTATATGAAGGCTAACAGCTCAGGCATATGCATGAGACCACTAAGCCGGTAAACAGTGACAAGCTGCAGAGAGCGGAGGAGAGTATTATCGCCACCACTACTATAATCGCTGGTGCTAATCCAAGTAGAAGGAAGATTCGCTCAACTAACTGCTTATATCCACACACAGCTCACAAGTAAGTTAAGCAGAAAAGTCGGATCCGATACTCTTCACTAAGTAATACACAACATATTCTTAACGGCTATAACTATGGGCTTGATGGAGGAATTATTTAGCTGAGGAAAAGCAACAGGTATATTCGTGAAGCTTCATTATAGAGGAAAGAGACTTATTTTAGTCTTTGAAACTTAATAGCGAATTTCAGCCCGATGCTGTTCCATGGACTACTGATTTAGTGGATAACATTGGAACAGAAAATATTTGTTTCTTTAACCGCCGGTCGATCATACAGTAAAATTCATAATTATAACCTGTGTATCATTTTTGATACTTACAAGTACGTTTCTTCTATATGAATTCATAAGAACCACTCCTGACAGGATTAGAAAATCAAATCTTCAAATTCACCTTCATTTGAGGGAAAATATTTACCTGAAAGTTGATGAACAACCCAAAAATTTAACATCATGTAAAATATGTCTAACAGTAAGAAAATACGATGGGAATCTTCCGTGCGTGATTTTGGGATTTACTTTATCTAATACGTTAAGCTCTGTTCAAAGCGGAAGAACTTTTCGGGAACAAACAAAGTTTTAAACAAGGCAAAACATTATATTGCCTTAACTCTTGTCTACGTGCTGCAACAATTTTCCACTAATCAGTGCAGATTCTTTGACTACGCTTCTGAAAGGTTTGCGCGCCCACACCCTCGCATTCGCTTGGTCTCTTCGTATGTAAGAATCTACTATATAATTTATTTAAATCACCCGATATGCTTTTATCGAGTCTCGATACACTAGTCTTTTAGACCGTCTGAAACCGCTTTTTCATAAGCGAGAAGGGAAAGGGAGTATTAGTTTATCTCAGCAATTTCAGACGCCGAAAAATTCGGTATGACTTCGGTCTGAAATACACACACACATAGAAAAATCTCGTACTAACGCAATTATCGTATTTTCGCGTATTACTAGTCACTAGTACCATTTGTAAATTTCACTTATTTCACATTTAATGTAATTACATATGAACTTTTGTATCCTTAACTCAGAGAGAAGAAAAAGAGTTCAGTTTAGCGGAATAGAATAAGGAAAAGTCAAATTACCACCTAACATACTTTTTACTGAACCATTAACTGAAAAATTCTGCCCGCTTGAAGCTCTCAGTAGCCAGTTCTCAGCATTTACTCAACTCAGAGCCTATCCCACAGTAAATAAAATTCTTCTGTGGCGGTGGATTGGTTGAATACTGCTTTCGATGCTGCAGAATGCCTTCTAGCTAACGGTGGCCAGCTACACCGAACATCCACATGTCTTATATGCTGACTTAATTTAATTTAAAGTCCTCTCTCGACGTACGAAAACCAAACCAGACTCTCTAAGTCACTCATCATGCCTGTGCTGGTATATGGCGCAGAAGCATGGACAATAACAACATCCGATGAGGCTGCTCTTGAAGTATTCGGGATAAGGATTTTGGGGCCTTTACGCGTTGGCGATGGTGAGTACCGCAGACGATTTAATGATGAGCTGTACGAGCTTTACAGCGAAATAGACATAGTGCAGCGAATTAAAATACAGCGGCTCCGCTGGCTTGGCCATGTCGTTCGAATAGACATCGACGCTTCAGCTTTGAAAGTATTCAACTGGAAACCCGCTGGTGGTAGCAGAGGAAGGCCCCCACCGCGATGGAGAGACCAAGTGGAGAAGGACTTGGCTTCACTTGGAATTTCTAATTGGCGTCAGTTGGCACAGAAGAGAAACGACTGGCATGCAGGATAGGTTTCTTTCATGTCCAAATTAGACCCTAGTTCAACACAATCGGTAAATGGCACTGTATATCTCCTGGCGCACAATATGGGCTCCGTTTTTCAAGGATTGATAGCCAATCCGCAGTTTGCAGACTAAATAGTGTGTAAGTTTAAAGACTTCCCCAGAATAGACGATAACCCGGAAGACTAACATTTTGAGCTTCTACATTATGTCGTTTATGCGATATACAGCCCTACTATTTGTTCTCGACTTCGAGATGGGCCGGAGCTTCCCATCCAGCTATTGTCGTGTCGAGTTCAAGTCGTTTTTTGACAGTCGATGCGTATCGAAAATCTTGGCTTGTTTGGATCTTGGATAGTTTTCGACGATTTTCGTCGTTTACTTATTTCAGCACGAGAGTATCTAAGCAATCCCAGTATTGTCGAGTCGTAAAAATTAGTCTAGATATTCAAATATGAATGCCTCATTTTTGGTAGATATATTCATTATGCACATTGCTTCCTTTGAAATTAATATTTCTTTGATATCTATTGTGACAATTTAACTTTAACCATTTGATCTAAGCTAAGTAGATAGTATCCCAGAATCTCACTGAATTATTAATCAACTAGCTTACAATTCCAGTCACGAAGGTAATTGCATCACAATCGCAATTTAAAATTTTAGCTAACTTCTTAAAATATTTACAAAATTTTCAAGAGAAAACTTCTAAGTTGATTAAATCATAGCGTTGGGAGACAACCAATCAAACGCCAAAAAATTAAATAGCTTATAAGCTTTGATGGCGCACTTGACAGCTGCGTGAATTGTCCCAAATTATTAGAATCTTTGCGAAAAAGTTTGAGTGCTTTTCCTTCCTTTTTCTCGAAAAATATTTTTCTTTGCTTACAACGAAGATTATGCATGTCAGCCGCCTTAAAAACATGAATTGTGATGATATAATTTACAAAAAAGATCAAAACATTTGACCAAGTAAATGTTTTTTTCTTTTCAATATTTGGGCCAAAGTTAAAACCGAATTGTAAGTATTTGACTTATTGACATCTTTGAAATTGTTGTTAAAGGGCCTTTCCTTTTGTGTAATAAAGTTATGCCAACAAACAAAGGGTCGCTGATAAGTCTTCAAAGTTGTGTCGTACTTTTGAAACAGTGTGATAAAATTTAAGACTTGTAATGAGAAACGTTTGCTCCTCATTCAAGTTAGTGTGTATGGATTATTCTACTTATTAAAATGCTGCTCTTTTAATTAAGTATTCTTTTGAAGGCTGAAAATTATTAATTGATACTTGCTGCTCTATCTTGCCTTTTTTTTAAACTCATTCCTCTAAAAAGTTTATTTCAAACAGATTTTATTATTTAAGTGGCACATAGTGGGCCGAAATATTTTATTTATTTTTTTTTTTAATTATGAAATGGCTGTAGTTGATTGAAAAATAATCACGTCGAAAAAGATAACTTTTGTATCTGTGTGCCTCATTAATAGCACTTTACTTATTTCCTTTCTCTTTTTGCATTGCAATCCGTCAAGACCATGAATTATTTTTTTCATATAAGCCTTCGCTAAAGGTTAATCTGAAAATCTACTCCACGGACTGTTAACTTTTTTAAAGCCCTTACACGGCTTTCTTATTTAAAGCAAGAAATTTTTCTGAATATGTTCACACACAGCTTTTTTGTCATTTTTTGGGACTTATAAAAGTTTTCATCCGCATTTTTCCTTATTTTCAGAGTATTTCTATCATTTCTTAAGGGTCCTCTTACTATCGATTTAAATTTAAAATAAATAATTCATAAAAGTTTTCAATTAGTGGACGAAATAAACCTAAAAATTTAATTATGTGGCTATATATTCCTGAAGAAATACTTAAGCTTGTTTAATTGCGACAATTATTATTTTACACGAAATTGTTGCATCTGACTACTATATCAACTACAACAAACCCAAGCTCATGAAAAATTATAGTATAGGAATGGATGAAGCGCCTCTTCACGACAATCCAACGCGAAATGATTACATCGATCCAAGCAGTGCTATCGGCCTATATGAACTTCTGTTTTGAATTCTGCTAGTACAACAACATAATTAGTAATATATGGAAACTTGACTGCTTCATTCGAGTAAAGGTGGCGAAGAAAACATAGTGAGCGACATTGGGGACTTCGCCAGATTATCAAAGCATAATAGCTTTTACATATTTGTTTAATACGTCCTTAAAAAATATGAAGTGCTTACAAAAAAATTTGTACGTGTTGCTAATACATCTAGTTATTATATATATAAGAAAAACAATATATAGAAATTTTAACGTTTATTACTAACTAGCAATTAGCCGGCGTGCTTCACAGCGCCTAAAAAGTATTTTGGTGCTGTTTGATACCCATATTGTAATATTTCATTTAATTTATCAATTTAATTTAATACAATTTTTCAAACGGGTGGCTACCCTCTTCAAAAATGTTTTCGGCAGCAAACTTTCCTAAACCTCGATATTGCAAAATTGAATTTAACCTCAAAACTCTAAAAATAATTTTGTCTGCTGTACCTAAGCCTTCTTTAATCACTCTCTTTTGACGGCCATGTTGAAATATATACTTTTCTTATCAAATTACCTAAAGTGCGATTTTCAAACAGGTGCGAACTTTCCAATTTTTTTTATCTATATTTTAAGTAACACCTTAAGCAATACATCGGTGAAAGCCGAATGCAATTCCATGTATTAGTTTTCGTACAAACATACAGACAGGCAGGCAGACAAATATTCTAAAAATTGTTGATTTGGCTTCTGGTGCTCTAATAAAGACTCCACCAATTATTCTTCTTTTAATATCTATAATGTATTGTTTATAAACATTATGTAGGTATTGTAGTCTTAAATTCATTAGGGGGAAAAAATGTATCTAAGAAATTAACATTTATCACCTAAACAATTAATATAATTAAAAATATTTTTTTTTCATAGAGAATTTGGATGTGTGTTTGTGTGATTTTTTTCAAATTTTTTCTCGCCCCATTCTCGAGATATTTGGAAAATTTTAAATCCATTTATTTTTATTTTTTGTGCTGTAAAAATGTATTAATCAAGCTCAACTTCCACATTTATTTATTAATTATGTTTATCCATTAACCCTGAAAATTTGAAACAAAACAAACGCATGAAGTGTGAACCCCGTACATTTTGGTATATTTTTTTTTTATGCTGATTCTATTTTATCAAAAAAAACCTTTTCTTCAGTGACATTATTTCAAACTAAAACATACTTCTGAGTAAATTTCAATAAAATTCGCTTTGAATCCAAACTGGCAGAATCAAAAAAAATAATATATATATATACATATATATATATATATATATATATATATATATATACGGAATTAAAAAAAGCCCATAATGAAAATAAGCCAGCGTGAAAACAGACCTAAAAAAGTAGAATTATAATTTCACTTAATTTTTATTTCCGTACTCTGAAACTTTAACGGAATATTCCTTTAAAGCCAAATTTCGTACATTTTCTTTTCTCAATGTCTGTCTTCGTATTATATTTGCATTTGTTTACCAATCAACCTTATCTTCTTCTTTTCTCTTCACACACACACAGATTTAGCCCAGTTTGTCCGCAACGCCTACCCGATATCGGCAATGAGACAGCCGCTTTAGAGCGAATGCCCAAGGGACGATTGGAGTATTTGAAACGTCTACTGCCATATCTGCAAAATCAATCGGAAGATTGCCTTTATTTGAATATTTACGTGCCCATACAAGGTAAGTGATACGCCGCCGAAATGCAGGCATTGTATATACACACCTACACAATATGTATACTTGTATGTATATATTATTAGATATTGATAGCAATAAGAAGGTGCGACTGAACAGGCATTAGTTTCTGTGTGTGTGTGTGTAAATTTTTAAATGCAAATGTTGTTAGTTGTTGTAGATTGCCCAAGGGACTATTTAACGCAGCCGCATTGTGTGGGGATTGCAGGAAACGCAACTGTCGTCAGCTAGCAATTGGCAGCGGTCAAAGTGGCAAGTGAACTTATGGACCATGGCAGAGTTTTTGGGTTATGGCATGATATGCAAAAATATTTATAGATTTATAATGCTGAGGCATGAAACACATACATACATACATATGCAAATAAATGCGTGTTTATTTATAATTTTGAGAAAAATATTTGCTAAGGGATTTTACTGTTTGCGTAGTTAAGTGGTGAGGAGGTGGTGGTAGGAGTTGTATGTTTTGGAAATGGCTTGGTTATGTATTTTATTGAATTTAATTTTTTTTTTTCTGCGAGGAAACTAAAAATTGTATGTCTAATGCGGAGATGTTTTTAAGTGTTAAAAAAAAAAAAAATTGTTGGCGGTTGAACAGATTTCCAACATCACTCGCTCTTCTTTTTCATCTGCATATTCATCATTTTTATTTTGCAGCCTTCGTAAGCAACTGCTTAAATAAATACATCCTCATTATTTATAATTTTTCCAGCTTTAAGTTTTTATCGTTTGAGAAACGGGACCCTCTGTTAATGGGATACGACACACCACCAAGTGGCTAAATTTACAGCTTAAAATTTGTCCAATCAAGCAAAAAAATTGAAACTTATTGTTAGTCGAAAATACAAATGTAAAGTAGGCAGAAAAAAATCGCTTATAATGCGGCATGCAAATCTGCCAAAAAACAAAATCCTATTTACACTTGGCAGGCGTTAGCTTCGATGGCAACGCCACTTTGTTGACACTTGCAAAGGGTAGTGATTTGAGAAAATTTGTCGCAACTGCTTGAGTTGTTTTGGCACCGCAGCACTTGACGCATATCAGCCTAGTTTAGGTCGTTGCAGTAGCCGCAGCTGCAGCAGCTGTTGTTTTTCCAACTTGCTACCGGCTTTCAGCTGGCATTAATTTTGGCCTCAATTTCATAGCTCTTGCTCAGCTGCTACCTAACTAAAATCGATTTCTTTCCGCTACTGGCCTAGCCCATTGTTTATTTTTACTTCGATCTTTTTTTTTGTGTCCTATTTCTACATATTTTTCAGCGCTCTCTCCGCTACTTCCGCCATTTAGTCCGGCGAAAGAGAATACACTTTTTTTTACGCCTAGTTAAAATTTTCGTATTGTTCGTTTCAGTTTAACTTAGACTACAACGAATTCGTGTACTCCTCGCTCCTTCCATTGTCGGATGTTTGAAAAGCGAAAATGGCGTAAAAGGTAGCAACCAAAAATTGTTCAAATGCCAGTTGAATATTTCGAGGGGCGGTGTACACAAACAGTCAACCATATCGGTAAACTTGATAAACTCGAGCCGTTACTGTGTATTGGTGTTAACCTTATTAATAGACATTCTGTTTTTTTCGCACTCAACTCGAGCTGCCGTTTTTTTTGTATTTCGACTCTGCCACATTAACCCATTTTTTGCCTCCGTTGACATTTTTTCGCTGATGCCACATTCCACTTACTCAGCTTGCTGTATTCCTTTTTTCAGCACTTTTTTAGAAATGCCTTCAGCCTTTGAGGGCTTTGATTATGTTTGTACAAATGCTGGTATATATTCATTTTAAGCTGATGCTGATGGTGATGCTGCTGCTGATGTTGCCACAAATTAATGACACATAATTTCACAAGATTGACTGCTATAAATAAAATATGTATATTTTGATGACTGTTCATGTAGCTTAAAATAACGACTCATTTCTCATTTTTATGTGGCACTTTATGTACATATGTGTATGTACATTAGGGTGGTCTAAAAAAAAAGAAAGTCGGAATTTTAATGCTCCCTACCTCTAGGATTATTCCACAAAGAAAAAAAATATATGTGTTATATATAAATACAAAATAAAGTTTTTCGATCGAGAAATATTGATTTTTAGGAATTCTATACCACTTCTACAAAAAATGGGTTTTGCCTAAATCAAACACATGGAAAACTTTAAGCGCTTTGGCAACCTCTAAATATTTTTTAATTTTAAAAAGAGGTATATATTTTTTTTTACTATATAAAATTTCTAGGGGACGAGGGCATAAAAATTCCGACTATCCTTTTTCATATGTATTTTTGCACCACCCTAATGCACATATATATATAGATACACACATCCCTTTTTATACACAAATATTCTGTTTTTTTGTCGGTATGAGTTGATGGGTTCATTAAAAGGATATGTAGTAAATAATATGCCCCAAATGAAAAACGATTTCATTTATTTTAAATACAAAAAAAATGGGAAATAATTACGAATTTCTGTCTGTGGCTCATTTTATAATAGTTTCAACTCTTTTATCTAAAATTAAGGAGATTTTCCAACATGAATTCTAATATAATCATTAGAATAAATATATACAAAATATATATCGCGCTCCAACACTTACGGGTGCTTGACTGAGCTTTCTTCCGATTTGTGTCACACAGCAGTTTTTCGCCACCTCTGTAGCAAGAACTAATTATATGAAGATCTTTAGCAGGATCCTGCTGACCTTGTCGGGCATGCCACTGCAGTATTTTTCAGGCTGAGACATAAACACGATCGACCTAGCTCACTCTAAACTTATCTTCGTTGTTTACAGTCAAGCTGGCATCAAAGCCTTAGGGTCAAGGAATTTTCGAAATATATCGAGTTTCGAATTTTCAGGGTTATAGAGTTGCCACTCTTTATGGAATTTTATAGTACTGGATATGTATGTATATGAAAAAATCTCACGAGTTTTTTTTTCAGTATCACTACTTTCCCTCGCCAGAAAAAAGCTAAAGCATTCTTCTTGCACTTATTTTAATTAATAGATTTCAAATCAAGTATTGGAATAGCTTTATCCTTAAAACGTTTAATTAGGTGAAATTACTAATATTTTCATTGTCACTCGACAAAATGATAGTTGTTTTTTTTTTAATAATTTTGGGAAGTTTTTAGATAGAATCTTTATATTAGAGGCAATGAAAGCTGACACCGAGTACAATGTATATGTGAACTTTCAAGAGTGTGCCGCCAAATTAAAAAAAATAGCAGCATGCAGAAAGTGTGCCGCAGATATTTTGTAATTTTTGAAATTTTAGGATTTTTTAATTTTACAAGTTTAACATAATTAAAAATGTTTAAATTAAACGGTGAAAATATTCTTTTTGCCAAAACGAATCAATCTAGAGTAATAAAGCTATGGTGCCACCAGATGAAAAAGAATGAAATCGGTGCTACCTGGCGTATACGTTACATACACAACTACGTGTGACTTCTTTAGGCATATCTTTCTGAAGTCTTCATTTAAGTACAATTTCGCAATGAAATATTTTATGCAAAACTGAAGATAATGCACTGTCTAAGCTAAGTGTGCCAACATTTTCAACCAAAATACACGTATTTTTTTAATAATTTAACAACTCGTACGATTTCCTTATATACATAAAGTTCCGTCAAGATCCAACCTAGATTTGCTTCTTTTTATTTTAAACTTTCTTATTTGTGTTTACTTTATAATATAGAATGTTTACATATTTACATTTACTTTTGAACAATTTTCTCATTTTATCTTATCTCCCCCCCCCCCAATAAGGAACTGAGAGAAAGTGAATTTAATTAAAGCTGACAAATTTAATTTCCATCTATAATTAATTCTCGTTGAATCTCCATTTCAATTCACAATTAAAACCCTGCAAAGTAGATACCGAGTATTTACAAAGATTCATAAAACTCCACTGAACAAAAAGATAAGTTCCCTGCCCATTCTGTTCAGTTGACCCCTCCTCTATTTTCCATCTTTTTCCTTGTTCTACATTTACTTTCAACTAATTTTCATTATTCCCGTTATCTTAGCTCCCCACGATTACTTCACCTTTCATTACATTCCAACACCTAGCCAGCAGCTATACTTTTTACTTGACTATTATTTATCTAGATTTTTTTAATTTTATGTATTTGTGTTAGTATAAGTTCGCGCATGTATCCGCTGTGCATTAACATTTTTCTAATAAAGGTGACGTGCTGTCACTTTTTCAAATTCATTTAATTTATTTACGCTACGCGACCCTCTTTTTTTATGCGCTCTCTTCCTTTTTCTTTCATTTTGCGCTTGCTTCTTTTTATTTCTATTCATACATTTACTTTTCTTTTGTGCTTATTCGATAGTATCCTGTAGCAATTAGCATAAAATATACAAAGGACTCACAATTTTTTACTCATTTTGACCACTACAACAAATGGTTGCCGAATTCCTTTTAAGAATTCGCTATGTATTAATTTATTTATGTATATGGGTGTCACATGATTTCTTAAAGAAATCAAATTAAATTTTGTTTGGGGAAAAGTTAATTTGCGGTATATATACTACATGAAATTGGAATAATAGAAAAAATAAAGATCCAGAAAAAAAAACAAATAATATTACATGAAATCAAATCTGAGAATGTTTACTATGGATTTGCGTTAGTATTATTTGCTTTAAAATAAATCGTTGTGGCACTTGCTGCTATGCACTGAAGCAGTTTGCTGGAAACAATTAGCCAACAATTTCCACTCAACTGATTTGCATCCAGACATCAACGTGTTGGAATAATTCAGCTTCTCCACTGGCTAGGTCGTGAACAGAAGCGCTCCAGCTCTGAAACTATTTAACGAAGGTCGCGATGCTGGCAACAGTGGAAGAGGAAGGCCTCCTCCAGGTGGAGTAGGGCTTTCCTCCGCTGTTTTGGACTCGGCCGAAATCGGTTAGGCAGTTACTGCGCCAATAAAGAAGAGGATGTAGTTTCATGAAGTTAGCTCAAGTTCAGATTCAAT